GTATTCCCCTTGAATAACGATAAAGTGGAAGCATCCTCAGTCACATTATCTGACGATCTCTGCTCCCTCTTCAACATCTCTATGAACTCGTGATCTTTATCGATAAAGACCACTCTTCTCTCCCTCGTTCTCCGCTACAATCAGATTTGACTGGTAGCCCCATCTTCCAACCCTTTAGCCCCCACAACTACGACCACAACCTCTAGACTGTCCACATCATCCCATCTCTCTCCTTGGGAGGTTTTGAACAAGTCTTGCTCAGGTGACCCGCTTCATCATAGTTGTAGCACTTGCGGGTATGCCCCAAGGCACCTGTCATTACCTGAACTAAAGCAACGGAAGCTGATTTCATTTCACTCGGCTCAGAGTGTAGCCTCATCCAACTCTCTCATATATCATTACAACGATGGCCTCATTTAGTGAAGGAATCGTTGCATGGGCTGTGAGGACCGATCTCCTCTACTGAAAGGTCAGGTTCCGATGAGCCAAAAACTGCATAGCCCTCACTTGTGCAAAGATCTCCCCCTTCTTGCACCTTGGATCACCACAACTCGACATAGGTCAGAAGTGATCAACAACTTGCCGCAGCTGCTTCAGCTCTATGCAGTACTCCTGAATAGATCCATCACCATGTACCACAGCTTCTATGTCACACTGAATCTGGAACACCCTCATGTAGTTCTCAGCCCCAACATAGAACCTCTTCAGCTTTGCCCAGATGTCTTTTATCTTTTGAATGTCATCCACTGATGAGGCAAAAGATAGGTGTAAAGTAAGTTGTGTTTAGTCCTCCACTAATCCCCTCCAGCGCTATCAGATATCATCTAGTCACTTCCATACTAGAGTAGTCTCGATCTGATACGACCAACTCAGATACGTGACCGATCCATAAAGCTTTAGATCCACAGAAAAGAGATCTAGTTCACTTGTGTCAGAGCACGTACCGAGGGAGTGGATCCCATTGAAACACTAACTCCCCGTATAAGCCCGATCAAGACCTTCAAAACTTCAAGATCTTTCTTCCCCATAAGCTCAAAATCTTTACCTCATGCACTATCTCTATCTGCTGGCATCCTCAATTTAATTATTCCCCAGTCTTATTCTTCCTCTCACACACGCATAACCAAATTTCTCTCCTCCACTGCTCTATTTTCAAGTGTGCATCCCCTGCCCTGCACTAAGCTGCTCAAATCACTCTGTTGTGATCCAGTAGCCAAAGGCATCGTCTCTTGTGTTCGATCAATCCTTCCTACACTGAGCACCTTTGTACAACCGCAATATCCCCTGCGGTGCGGTTCGGTCCTAGGGCACGCCTGAGCGCTTCATTGACTTCCCAACTCTAAAGCTACAATCAAGCCAAGCCGACCCAAGTATATCATAGTTCGGACTTAGTTTGATATAATTATAAGTTATTCATGTTTGAATTGAGTTTGTGTCGAGCTTTCATATATTGTTAAAACTTAACTTGTTTAAATTTTTCAATATTTGAACTTAATTTATTTATGACAAATGAATGAGTATTTAAACGAGCTAAAAATTCAAACAAGTATCAAAATTTTCATATAAAAAATTTACTAAATAATTTTTTAAATCTGATCACACATTAATTTATTGATTATAAACTTTGTAAAAATAAAAGTTAACTCATGAACCAAGATTATATTGGATATAATCTCTCATATTTTAACATGATCATACTCATACTTCCAAGTTTACGCCTAACTCCCATATTCAGATGTGGGTGTTATTTTTCACATGATAATATGCATTTGTTATTTACCTAGTTTTTTTTTAACAATTTTATATGTCTTTATATTGAATTATTGCACCATCTTTATTCTTAATCATATATAACTTACAATGATTACATTACACTTTCTTAACATCATTTTTAAAGAGGTTGAATTTAGGAGCAGAGTGTAAATGGGAGATATACAAGAGACTGGAGTTTCAGAGATCCTTATACACCACGATCTCGTCATTGCCTTCATGCTTGCACACCCTAGCAACTCAGGGTTTCGTATGTTTCGAGTGAAACTGGGAGACAAAATTGTGAGAAGCCAAAGGGAAATTGAGATTTGCGGGGTTTTAAAATTAATTTTTAGAGGCATTTCATACATACCACATAAATCTTATATATTTTCACATCTAACACCTAAACTTTAATAAAATAAGTATATAAATAATAATTAATCAAAAAAATTATTGATATAATAATATATTACTATTAAATCTGTAATTAAATAAATTCTAATTAATTAAATTTAATTTAAATAATATATCATATATAAAATGAGTTATTATCGAGCTTAATATCGAATATTTAACGAGTTAATTATTGAACAATAAACGAGTTTCTTCGTGAACGTAAATAAATAAGTTCGACTATGTTAATGTTTAGTTCATTTAAGCTTCGAGCTTTTAAAAATTGTTCAAGCTTGTTTATTTACTAATTTGAACAAACATGTTCGAGTATTAATCGAGTTGAGTTCGAGTTGTTCATAGAGAGCATCGATTCATTTACAGCCTTAGAGGGCATGGTGGCAAGGTGTGATGTGTTTCAACGACACAATTACTTGAATATGATGCCAATAAGCAAATGCAGCCCTTAGCTTTACCGAAGAACGCTTAGGAATTAGTAACGATGGATTTTATAGAGGGGTTTCCACAATCAAAAAACTTTGCGGTGATTTTAGTGGTATTAGATTGCCTAAGCAAGTATGCACATTTCATTCTATTACAACACCCCTGCACTGCGGTCTCAGTCGCTACGGTGTTCATACGGGAAGTGATTCGTTTACATGGAGTGTCGGAATCTATTGCATCAAACAGAATGTGTTCCTTAGCCAATTTGCAAGGAGTTGTTCAGGTTATAAGGAACAATCCTTAAGAAAAGCACAGCATATCATCCTCAGGCCAATGGACCAAACGCAAAGAGTCAACAAGGGTGTGGAGACATCCCCAAATTGTTTGGGCAAAGTGAATTGTGTGGGGAGAATACTAGTATAATGCTTTGTATCATACTGCAGGGCCAACCACCCCTTTCAAGATTCTATATGGACAAAATTCATCTCACCTGATACACTATGGGCATAGTACTATACCGGTATCCAATGTCGACCAGTACTTGAAGGAGAGGGACAGGATATTGATGAAACTCAAGGGGCATCTAATGAGGGCTCAACAGATCATGAAGAGGAAAGCGGATGGGCATGGGAGAGAGGTGCAATTCGAACCTGGGGACATAGTTTACTCGAGGCTGAGGAGAGCGAGAAACTTTCATATTGATATTTTAAGAATACCACCATCATTAGCACTACATCCGATCTTCCATGTTTCGCAGTTGAGACGTGCTATTGGAAATCATACATCCTCATCTTCACTACCTTTGATGTTGAACGAGGACCTAGAGATGATTCTGGGATCTTTAGAGGTCAAAGGAGTGCACAGAGTGAAAAGAGCAAAGAAGGTACAGGTTAAGTGCAAAGGTCTTACAATTATGAAGCAATGTAGGAGCTTTACAAAGTGATATAAAAGCAGATTCCATCATTCCACCTTGAGGACAAGATGCCTCTTTGAGAGGGGGTATTGTTATGCCTATGAAATCGGTCCAAACAAGAATAGTCTGCACCCAGCCGACCGACCCACCCCAGCCTTCTAGGTGTCGATCAGTTCAACATGAGGGAAAGCCCGGGTGCAGCCGCAGAGGATTTCAGCCTCCAGATGGGGCCACTAAGGCTCTGATGACATATACGCAAGGATAAGAAATTAAGAGAGTTTTGGAAGGCGAGTTTGAAGGGTTTTTGGGAGAGTTATATTAGGGCTAATAACCACGGTTTGAGGGAGGTTTTGTTTGGGCTGCAGTTTTTCTTTTCTCGTGGTGTTTCTAGAGGCATTTAGAGTCTACGGAGAGACGATCTAGCTCTCGAACAGTAGCACAATATTTTACCTTTTTTTTGTTTTTGTTAATATTAGTAAAAACAACCCTGTTTTGAGTTTTCCCACTTCTCTATTGCAATTTATTCATTGTTTGTTAGCTGTTCTTGGTTCCAAATCGTAACAGTCGAAAAAATATCTTGCAAGCTTCAGACATAGATTTATGAGAGGGGACAACTTTGTTACCTATTCATCAAGAGAAAGAAGTGTGTTAGTTATAACTAATGAGAAGCATTTAAAGCTCATCCTATTTCATTGCATTTTCAGTTTTCCTTACCATTAAGAGAAATAAATTTATAAAATGCAAGTAAAGAGGAAAAACATTTACGGTAATACGAAAATAACTAGTTCCCAATTATTTGAGTTCCATGAGATTGCTGAAAAAGAAACCAAATTACACATCACATTACCAGATGAACAAAAAATTATATGAATGCAATCAACTATTGAGCTTAGGATTTTGCAAATTTAAGCTCATAACTTCGCCCAATCCAACTAGACCAGTTCAGGCATGCCGACCCTTTGATTGTTGCGGACAAAAGAAGTCCTACCTGTTAAGGGTTAATTTGTTTCAAGTTGCCCAAAATTGATTAGAGCTGTGTTCCAAAAGCGAGTTTCAATGGTGCAACTTGTTTATATGAACTCTTCTTGCGAACTCAGTGCTTTTGTTTAGACTGAAGCAAGTTTCATAAAATTTGAGCTTAACTATTATTTTAAGAGTTAATTAATAAATATAGGCCTAATTAATAAAATAGTTTAATAAAAAATCATGGAGCAATGACTACGCGGTTAGACTAATATATATATATATATTTTTTAACATATCACAAATTATAAATTGATCAGAATATCAATCCTTATAATAATCGGTGTATAATATCAAGTAGACATCAAAATGCTGCAGCAATTTCATCCCTCAAAAAATATAATGACAAAAAAATAGAATTTCAATCTACTTGAAAACATCATAACATAATTCTTTCTAAATTTTACCAAATCAAAAAGAAGAAAGCAGAATCGACAAATTAAAAACATAATATTTGGGGTAGAGTATGAGTACATACGTCATGTAATTGGATAATGTTTTACTACACCCAGATACAATCTTTAAGGCCTCCAGAGCACAGCTAGCAGAAATGATTGCATTTGTAGAAGCAATAGCTGGAATAATATTCTTCACTACGCCCTGAAAAGAATCAATGAATTACATGGGCTCTGAAGACAAAATATCTATTTAATAAATATAAATTAAGTTGGGTAAAGCTGAACCAGCAAGTAACAGAGACAACATGAATCTGAGCTATAACTTCTCCGAATGAAGTAAATTTTACACTTAAACTCCAACAACAATCGCCATAACACTTCATATATCCATGTTGGTTTACATAGTAATGTGAAGTAGCAGTTGAACAATAAAAATGTTTCGTAACAAGGAAAAACTATTTATTATTACTTAAACATCTAAAAAATTTCAAAACAACTCGCAACTCTCCGCTTATCAATGATTTTACCCAATAGATCAAACTGCAAATTTTACACTATTGTAACTGAAAGCGATATTGATTAGGAAGATATGTGAGAGGATTTACTAGTACATGCAATAACCACTGAATAATGTGTAGAAAATAATTTATATGCCAGTGTTCATCAATGAAAATGTCAATTATATACATAAAAAAAAAGTAAAATAAACTAGAGAATTAAAAAATACGAGATATTGAACTAGTGCAAATTCAGATACCTGGGTTAAGGAATAGGTGACACCAGCAATGCCAAAAAGCTCAGCTCTCTTGACAGCCTGTTTTATCATGATTTATCGTAAGTTCCGTAAAGGTGAAACAGAGAAGAGACAAGATAAAAAAACTGACTTCTTTGTAAACCCATTGCATATGTTCTGGATCATCGGGGTCAAATGTTTTTCCACTATGTACCTACAGGTTAAGAAATCAAAAGTAAATAAACAATATAGGGAAATTAACATATGTAGCCCATAATTCTTATGTATTTACATGTCTCACGCCTAAATTTTCATATTTACATACATAGTACTTAGTTGCTTTAAGCCCGTGCAAAAAAAGGTACATTTCACTTTAAAAAAAATGGTAATAATGCTATTTTTGATGTGATATTAAAGAAAAGAGTGTTGTGTATAAATATAGAAGTTCAGGTGTGAGCTATGTAAATGCCCCAACAATATATATATATATATATTGTGCGCGTTATGTGGCTTGTTGGTAGAGCGGCCTCTCTGAAGGTCGTAAATCCCCTCAGGTCAAAGGTTTGAATCTCTCTGTGTGTAGGGTGTGATACTCAAATATTTAGCACACCTAGATTTGGTCGGGGCTTATATATATATATATATATATTGTGAAAAGCAACAAAAACATTAAATAGCACCTCATCCCATTTGATCAAATGAGCATATTCAATACAATGTGCAGGAGTCCTTGGGGTTTCTGCAAGAGTGCATAACGGAAACTTGACTTGTGGAGGAAAAAGCCAAATGTTGCACTCAAAACAAGGCGTCATCCCTGGCAAAATTACTCTAGCATGGCCTTTAAAACCTTCAGTTCCACCATCTACCATGGGCTTGAGAGTTTCAGGTATTGGGTTATCCTCAGCATCATATTCTACAGTGGTCAAAATCATGAGATGTGATGAGAAAATTGGTAGCAAAGAATTGTTCATGTAGAGCATTATGTAGAAGGAAAAATAAGCAACATATTTTACTTTGAGCTCAAAGCTATCATAGGCTGACAACGTATCATCACAGATCATGTCTGTCACCATCACAGTATTCATGAGTAGACATGCAGCTAAACTTGCTTCATGAAATAAATTTCTACAAGAATCACTGTAAAAGCAATTATCTGCCCATTATTACCATTTTGGTACGGGCTTCATATTGAATACTTACAACGAAATAATCTAACCACAAAAATTTTAGCATTTTTAGGCTCACCCTCTAAGTAACTTTAAGGAATAAAATAGAGAAAATATAAAAATAACACAAAAACAAATATAAGGTTTACGGAGTATTAAATATCCAGCTTTGTGGGCACATAGCAAGCTATTGTTTTCAAAAAATGATGCTATTATATTTAATTTTTTGGTTGATGTTCCTTGAAATCAGTAAACCACCACTCCATTTGGCCAAATGCAACAAAAATTCTCCACGCTGGCAGGGGCTCCTTTTAAAGATAGCCAAATAATCTGGAGGAATTAATTTATTCTGCAGATTTAGATCAGCTCTTAAAACCCAATCAAGCTAAATCGGCTATGGCATAAATGACTGAATATATACTCGAGAAAGTTTCTAGTTGAAGCTATGGTAATCTTATTCTAGCCAGATATAGCAAAACCAACCAGTTTTATACGGATTCAATAGAGAGCCTCTTATTAAAGTTGATCGCTGCTTTCCTCAATGATTGTATACACAAAATATAAAATCCGCTGCGGGTTGATAATATCCTCATTCACATATGCTCAGATGGTGAATAAGTCATTAAAAATAAAAGAGGAATACATAATTCAGCATTCTCATAAAATGAAAATGGTGGTTGAATCAATAATGTCCATGGAACAGAGTTGCAAGGAAAGTTTTCTTCCACCATGAAGTAAAGGACACAAGTAACAATTTTGCTCTAATACATGACCATTCAAAGCATTTTATTTGTCACGAGCCAGCCCGGGGCTTCGAATTAACAAGTAGAGAACAGACGGCCGAACAATGAAAATTTTTTTTATTCATTTTCTATAACAAAGTTTTTTACTAATGAAATAGTCACTAGAAAAATAAAATTAAAGCAATTATAAATTTATCTAAAATCAGGTTGTTCGCATCTTCTATAAACATTGTATCTTCTATTCATCCTTTAATCAACAAATTTAAACTTGAAATATTAGTTTTAAACAACCGTGAGCTAACCAAAACCAGTTAATACTCACACTCCTATTGCAATACAATGAAAAAGTATACAATATGCATGCTAGTTAAGCTTTTAATAAACAAGGTATACAATATGCATGCTAGTTAAGCTTTTAATAAATAAGTATAAAACATTTGATAATTTATGAATATGATCACTCGTGATATTTCATAATATTCAAGATGTTGTATAAAATATTTGATAATTTATGAATATGATCACTTGCAATATTTCATAATATTCAAGATGTTTTCATAATATTCAAGATGTTGCACTATATCAATAACATATTTATATCATTTTAAATATGTACAACTTTCACAGGAGCGCAGTCTAAAAATTATACCAATTAAGATACTTCAATATCAATATTTTTTTTTCTATTTAAGTGCATGGGTACCGTAACGTTCTTCCGCTGGTACCATAAAGAGGTGACTCCATCATATTCAAGCATACACATACAATCAATCTATGCAATTCATATCATTCACAATTTCATATCACATAATATATAATATTTATTATTATAATACAAAATATTTCATAAAGTGAGACTACAAGTATTCATATCGAAATGCAAATAAAGAGAAATCAATTTCATTAATCAAGCATGAATAATAATTCATACAACTGGTGTAGGAAAGATAAAAAAATGATAATATAACTTAATAGTATGAGCACCCACCTCAATCAGTAATGATTCTCTTTTCAAATGTTCTCTTCTCTTACCTCAAATGAAAACCTAAAGTTAAATGTCTTTATTTTACCATTGATGTAACATATAATAGTAATTCTTTTATTATTATTATGTTAATTGTTATCTTCATTTCATAATATAAATTTAATTATTTCTTTCAAACAACTTAAACTAAAATATTGTCAATAGAAAATTAGTCATAATTTAATTTTCTAGTTACTTTATGTAATTTATATCTTTTGCATTAGCTTAAGCGTTATAAAAATATACAAAAATTTATATTATGTAATTATTTTATTATTATTATTATTATTTTCTTTGAATTCGTTATATGTAACATTAATTCAAAGATTTAAAAAACAAATAAAACAAATAAATCAAACCCTACATCTTATTGTTGTTGCCCCTCTTTTTTAACATTTAAATAATAAACTTAATTTTATATATGAGAGTTGTGCACCTTTATTAAATAACATAATTAAATATTAAACCCACCCTACAATATCACAATTGAAAACACTATATGCACGCGGGACCTCCTTTCTTTCTCCTCTGCACTCATGGTTCGTCTCCTCTGTTAAACTCGAGCTCAGCTTTGTCCGCTCACTTTCGAGGCCCCATCTCCTCCCTTGGTCGAACATGCAAACAGGGCCATTCCTTCCTCCTTGTAGCACAGAACTTCCTCGGACGACGTCGCCGTATGCTTCCCTCCCACACGCAAGCACCACTGCTATTGCATGCACAAGGCTAGGGTTCCTACTTCGAATTCAAAGCATCGTCTTCCTTTCTCTCGATCGAATGTGACATAGACAACAAGGTAACTTTTCCTCTGAACATAAAGATTACATATGATTCTTCATTTGCCTCCTCCTTGCTTCTATAAGTATGAATTTTTTAGGTACGAAAACGTGGTTTCGTTCCTCCTTATAAGGCTGAAACGCTCATTCATATCCCTCTATTTCGTCTCCCCTGCATTCACTTGCTAAAATAAGGAGACAAAAATGCTTAGTTACGAGGCGTTACATAATCAGCTTGCATGATCTAGATGAAATAAGAGTAAAGTATCAAAATAGTGCTTCGACTGTTATATGGGGTCATTTTAGTCCTAGAGTCTCTAAAGTGTCAAACTAGTCCCCATACTCTTTACACTGGAGTGAGGATTATTTCAGCCCATATTAAAACAGTTTGGGTACTAAATTGACATTTCTATAAACTCTGAGACTCGACCCTCTGTAAAAAATCGGAGGATTATTTTAACAATTTTCGCTTGTAATTAAAAATGTATATTGAAGAAAACTGCAACATTTGAGTAGTGGCAAAGAATAGCATAAAGAAAGCAAAGTTTGGATAGACTTCGAGCAACAATCAATTTCAGTTCAACTAAGCAGTAATTGGGCTTCAGGACCAACAAATCCAAATATGCTTACCTAGGAAACTACAAGCCACAGAATTAATGTAGCTTCTAGCCTCAATAGAATCAAGGCCAAGAACGATAATGTTGAAATCACTATAAAAATCTATCTCCTTGTCCTCGATTCTACAGAAATGAGGTGTGATATTCACACCAGAAACTCTCTCCATCACCCGCTTAGCAGCAACCTCAGCCTTCGACTTGCCAACATCCTGAAGCCTGAACTATCATATTAGTGTTAGGCACGCCAAGAGTGGAATACTATATAATAAAGAAGAGAAGCAGAAAATCAAATCAAAGCACTGGGATAAGTGAACAGAACAAAAAAAATTGGTTCAAATCACAATCATGAAGAGGCAAAACAACGTTTTTTTGCTGTTTCAGCGTAAGCAACATTTTTTTTTTAACACGTACTATTAGGATTTAAAAAATGGTTTTAATTTATTAGAACTAAATGAAAATATGACACTAAATAGAAAGCAATGGAGAAAAAGGATTCATGTGACCGGCCCCACGTAGTGGTATTAAGGTTTTGTTGTTGTTGTACTATTAGAAAACCTATAGAATTTTGAATAATAATAATGATGATGATGATGGTGGTGATGGAAAAAAAATCAAGTTTAAAGGGTTCTCCATCTTCCAGAAATAAAATTAATAAAAATAATGGATATTTACATACATAGCACTCAAAATATTGAACTCGACATATCTCGCACCTAAGCTTGGTTATTTGCACATAGAACTGATGAAACTTAGTTATTTACACAAGTAGTACTGACACAGGGGCTAGAGGGTTGAACCAGCCAATGGCTGAATTGGGGGAAAGCTTGTTGAACCCGGTTCAATAGGGAGCCATAGGGGGGCCAGGCGGCCCTGTGCTATGGGCAAAGGTTTCCGCCCAAGAGGAGATGTGTAACTTTCCTATCTACTATATATATATGTGTTATTTCCTATTTTAGGGTTAGTTGTTTTGAGATTTTTATTTGGATAGCCTTCAGCATCCCATTTTCCCTTCTAGAGTTGTATCCGACAGCGAGAATGTGCTCCAACTATAACTCATCCCGAGGTAGTGTGTAACTTTCCTTTTATTGCTTCCTGCCGCCCTCCCCTGTCGTTGCCATCTCCTTCCCTCCTCCTTGCTCCTATCACCCACCTTCCCTCCTCCTTGCTCCTATCACCCACCTTCCCTCTCCCCTCTACCTGGGTAACTACCGTAACTCCCACCACCCCCACCCCTACCAGCCTTCCTCACTGTCACCGCTTTATTCCCTACCCTCCATGTCTCCAACCTGTCAACCTACCATATAGCAACCGTTGTTGTCGTTATCCTACAGCTCCCTATCGGCGCTTAAAAGGGGAAAAAGTGAATGTTTGGGGGTCGCTCGGAA